GGTGAACAAGGAGACCGGGGAGCTGAGAACTCGGCGCGTGCTCAATGGAGACGAAACCCGCAGCGGCCAGTTTGCCATCATGCCCAACGACGACCCGGACTACGGTGGATTCCCTATCGCTATCACCATTCCTGCGAAGACTATGATTGCGGAACTGGAGTTTTACGCGTTGGATGAAGACGAAGTTTAATAAGATTGTCAATGATAATCCTTACTATCAGGTAGATATAGAAAATGTCATTTGAATGTTCTCATTTCTCTTCCTCAATATCCAACGTGGCAACCTCCAATCCCCTCTCTACCCCATCAATCGTTCCAGTAGCCACTGCTTTTATCTGGCCACGAGCATGATCTGTCCACTTGATCGGGCCCGGAGGCAACGTCCCATTGAACGGAGGGGACCAGCGTAAAGTTTGACGAGCAACGGGACACAAGTCCGGCAGCATCCCGTGGGTATACTCGAATGCGCCCCCAAACTGGACGGGAATATCATCATGATGGATGTACTTGTTGAGGGTGCCATAGACATTCGCTGAGTTCAACACGACCATCTTCTCTGCAGTCACCGGGTCGACAAACTTCTTCAGGAGACTCCAGATATTGGCGAAGTACGACGGAGGATTGCAAACCTGTACGCAAGTCAGTCAGAAAGCTCATGGTCTCCTGTCTTTCTCACTTACGAACGCCCGATCGATTGTTTCTGGATAGCAAGTGGCTAAGATCCCGCTAATATCCTGTGAAAACTCTCGGAGATTCCAGGCCTGGCGCCAACAGAGAGACGATCCGTCGACCAGGTAGATCGCCTTGGTGACCGGCTGCGATGGCACCGATCGATCTCGCAATGCGGAACATAGTGGAAAGACAAACCGAGTCAGATAATCGAAGTGCGCGAGAGCTCGCTGCGCCATGTCGGGTGAACTGCTCTGACCCGACAGCTCTCGTGTCTGACGCCAGTGCGCGATCGCCTTTTGGTCCAGATGGGCTGTTTCAATCATCACGATGGGCAATCCCTGGTTGTCTCGACGACCCGTCCAGTGCGGATGCTATGTGGCAGGTCGTCAGTTGCGACATATGAGCAGAACTACGCATTGCCTACCAGTTTGCGAGTATCTTCAAAATCGTCAACACTGATCCGGTCATATACGCGGAGCGCATCCTTCTCCCGGCGGAATTGGGCTGCCTCTTCAAACTGGCAGAGGGCGCTCGAGAGGTCCATTCGTCTGGCCTGCAGAAAGCGCCTGCCTGGTTCGATCTAATTCCCTCTATGATTCAACGATTGAGCAGTCACTTACCGCAGAGTTGGCTCGTCGGTGACCCCATCCAGGCGATCGCCCTCTTTCACATCGTCGCAGCCCTGCAATAGACCCCTCTCGGCACACAGCCTGGAGAACTGAGCGAATAGTGCTGTCTCGTGTGCAGCCATCTTGCCTGGTAATTTTTATTTTGATTTTGATCGTGTTGTCCAAGGTTGACTGCTGGAGGATGAGTCCCTTAATATTAATAACGGCTGCAAGGGGCCGGGGCTGCCTGATTGGGGCAGGCTCCGGATGCGTCTAGGATCGCTCTTTGTGTAACATCGATCAGATCATGCCGGATCGGGAAGAATATCTGCACATATATCAGGCCCCGCAGGCCCTTGATAAGAATATTTCAACAGTCATTTGAAGATCTATAGTCATCCAGCAAACCATGGCCAGCATTTGGCTTGATCAACTGACTGACAGAAACCTGTCCTTGCTCTGCATTTTCTGTTAATATGCGACTACACATCATGATGGACACAACCGAGGAATTCCAAGTATCAGATATTCAACTGCGTTCTGAATGACATCAATACGACGATGGCCAGGACTTTCAGGATATATCTGTGCTGATACCGGATCATTGACCCGGCCAAAAGGATTGAGGTTCTTGCCACGAACTGGTGGAGCCCCGTGGATCGCCATGCGACGATCACCACCGAGATGGACCCAACTACATACGCATAACATCATCCCCCTGTAGAATGCCGTTTCGTTGGCGCAGATCTGCATCATCGGGTCCCGGTTCCAAGATCTGGGGCCCTGATATGAACTCTCCGATCTTGGTCCTCTGCCGGTCCCAATCACCCATTGAGAGTCAGATTCCATGTGTTGTAGAGATATATAGCAGCAAACCCCACGGGTGATGCCGGCTATACTCCGGAGTATGCTCACAAGCACATTTTCCACTTGATAAACGGCCAGGATGGAGCGACAGCAGGATCCAACTTCCAGCGATCAAACATCGTATCTCGTACAGCGCTCGTCGCCAGACATTGAAGGGTTCTGTAAGGGATATCCTCTCCGGCGACATAGGTTCGAAGACGAGTCCAACAAAGGGGCACTGCAATGCCGCGCTGATTGGAACGAGTTTATCGGTCCCATTGAACGATGGGGCTGCTGCAACCCATGGGAAGGTAACTTTGCTGCCGTGGTACTTCCCTTTTGCAAGCCGGAGAGACTGGCGATCATCTCCTATATCTTCGAATGTACGGCCCCACCCGACGGATGGTCATGAGTTAATACTGACGGGCAGCAGATGCGTTCATGTATGATAATGTAGTAGAATCGGCAGCCAAGTCAACGGTATGTATGCTCATGCTGGTTGAACGCAGGAATTGACAGTAGCATAGTTGAACATCAACGCAGATAACATTGGTCTGGATGAGACGGAATACCGGACGGTGCGCTCGACCCTTGGAACGAAACAGATTCAATCCAAGATGATCATGGAGTTGCTGTCAATTGACAAGCTCTGCGCAGAGGTCGTCATTGACGCTTGGAAGACCATGATCTCCACGACTGCCAAGCAGGACAAGACCCGCCCATTCTCGAATTTGGAAGAGTACGTCGACTATCGGATTATTGATACCGGAGCACCGTGAGTAATATCCTCTGACAGTACGAGGCGTCATGGAATGCTGACACGCTCACAGATTCGTGGATACACTGATGCGATTTGGTATGGGCATCCGTCTTACTCCGGAAGAGGAGAGGCGTCTTGCACCGATTGTAAAACCCTGCTATGCCGCCCTGGGGTTGGCAAACGACTACTTCTCCTTTGATGTCGAGTGGCAGGAGTTTCAGTCGGCGTCCTCGGGCAAGCGCACCATGACGAATCTTGTCTGGCTGTTCATGCAATGGGATCAGGTGGACGTCCAAGAGGCCAAGAGACGCGCCCGAGAAGTGACAAACCGATATGAAGACGAGTACAGGCAGCGTGTGGAGGCGTTCTTGGCCAAGGAAGGGAGAGGAAACGACAAATTCAAGACATATCTGATCGCTCTCGGACATCAAATCCCCGGAAATGTGGCGTGGAGTCTGCGATGTCCCCGATATCACCCTGAGCTGTGTGACGACGCAAGTGCCCTACTAGAGGGGGACCGAAAAGAATCGAAGCGGGAAGAAAAGGATCAGGAAACAGCCCATGATATAGCCGCCAAAGATACTGCTAGACGCCCCAGCGACTCAGACGCCAGTGGCTCAGTTAGATCCTCGATTTGGTCCGTCTCGAACAGGTCATCCATATCATCAGCTCCCTCTGATGATGGCGAACCGTGGTCTGCGGAGCAGGTCAAGCTGGGCGATGAGGTGCGTATCCTTTTCACTATCATTTCATCTCTCTTCCCCTTAAGTCTTCTGCTGCATGTAAAAGATCACTGACATGTACCAGCATTTACTGGCCCCCGCAGAGTACATCAGCTCTCTGCCTTCCAAGGGTGTCCGGGAAGCCTTCGTCGATGCTCTCAATGTATGGGTCATGCTTCCCGATCGCACTGTCGCGCAGCTGAAAAGCATCGCCCAGACCTTACACAACGCTTCATTAATGTAAGTTGGCGGAAGCGCCGTGAGTACGACGAGACTGAACGTGATGACAGGTTGGATGATATCGAGGACTCGTCACCCCTGCGCCGTGGACGACCAGCGACGCATATGGTCTTCGGTGTCGGCCAGACGATCAATTCCGCCAATTTCCTGCTGATTCAGGCCGCTGATCAAGTGCGACAATTGGGTGACTCACGATGCATGGATATTTTCATGGAAGAAATGCGGCTTCTTTTCCGCGGCCAGAGCTTCGATTTGTACTGGACGCGACAGGGGGAGTGTCCGTCAGAGGAGGAGTATTTGGCGATGATACGGAACAGTAAGTAAACCAGCCTCTGCCTATTTGATGGCGCTCCGGCTGATTGTATTTATTGGCAGAAACCGGAGGTCTGTTCCAATTGATCGCCCGGTTGATGGCACAAAAGGCCCCATTCCAGAATCACAGGTATGCACCATTAGCCTCTTTCATGTGATGGATAGACTTCTAAGCCCGATATCCTGCAGTCTGCATACGTCACTTGAGTCCTTGGCTGGCCAGCTTGGCGAATATTTTCAGATCCGTGACGACTATAAGAATCTGACTGAGGAGGTACGTACATTCTTTTGCTGTCGATTTGAGCCGAGAGAGACTGACTCCTGCTGTGTAGTATACTGGTCAGAAAGGCTTCTGTGAAGATCTTGACGAAGGAAAATTCTCGTTTCCCTTGATCCATGCTCTATCCTCACGGCCCAAAAACCTCCAGTTGCAAGGAATCCTGCAACAGTCTCGGATAAGTGGAGGGCTGGACATCTCCTTGAAAGAGAGTGCACTTCATCATATCCGCGAGGCTGGTAGTATGGAGTACACGGAAAAGACGCTGTCAGCTCTGATGGATCGGATCGACGATTCTCTCCGGTCACTGGAAAGACAGAATGGAAGTTCTAATTGGATTCTGAGACTTTTGCTGCATAGATTGAAGGTCTGAAAATCTGGTATCATTAGTGCAGTGACCCATCCCATGTATCATATTCATACAAAGAATTCCATGCAGACATATAGAAGTTACAGGTCATACCAAGACAGAAGGAATTTTATATTCGTGACATCTACTGTACAGAGACGAGACAAAGGAATATTTTCAAGTGAATGGAAGCGGACATCACCTCTCCTGTAGATCAACCGTTGTGACCGGGCAGACATGTATGCTCCTCTGTGACCGTCCATGTCCGAGTCTCGCGGATGATGCCTGTCTGGCTCGACTGACTCTCATTATCATGGTCATCATCCGGACCATTCACATTCGATGTCACCACCGTTTTGGTCGTCGCCAGGGGGATATTATCGAGTTCATGGGTGGACTCATTGCCGGTGCGTCTTCGATCGGTCGAGAGGTAGTATCTGCTGCGGGCCGATTTATGATGACTGGAAAGAGTGTAGCGAGTCATACCGTCGAGTCGCATCCCAGTCGACTGGAGTTGTTTGAGGAAGGGGATAAACTGCGGTGCGCTGGCCGTCACTATGCTCAGGCACTGCACCAACTGGGAGGTAACAGTGACCGACCAGGTCTCGGAGGTGGCATCGGCTAAGTCGATGGTGCTGTGTATGAAATAGACTTGAGCCATCAATGCTCCAGGGACACTGATCCATCAGTTTGGCTCGTTTCTGGCTCGGACAAGAGACACTTACATGACGCGAAACAAAAAGACAGCTATGATATTGGCTTTTCTCTTCCAGGTTGTCTGCACGATGGCAATCACCTGGACCGCCTGCGTGATGATGGCCACGTCCGTGAAGATGTTTGAAACCCCGAGGTAGATGAAGAATGCTTTCTATGCCAGATTTAGCCTTTGCACAGTCTATGTATCGGTCTGTGTCTCCTACTCGGTCGTAGCAACTACCATGCAGATAGTCCCATTGATGTGGTTGACACTGGAACGCGGATGCAAAGACCGCCGATATTGCCCAGACTGCGATGATGATCTGCAGAGCGAGAAACACCACCCGGCTCCGAGACGTTGGTGTCAGGTGTTGGACAAAGCAGAGAAAGGCGAGCTGAGAAAAGCCGATGGCGAGAATGTAAAAGAAGGTAGCGACGTATTGCGACTAGGGCCAAGGGATATAAATTATTAACACGACTGGACCTAATACACTGAGACATACCTTCATGATTCTGTCGACTTTTGAGTCATCCAGCGATATCAAATGATCTCCATAACCATTTTTAACGGCCATTGAAACGGCCACTGATTGGGCAATTGACATGAGCTACACCAGTCAGACTCTGGAACAGCATATCTCTGCGCTTTCACCCACCAAGGCAAGGAGTAGGTAGTAGTCATCCAGAAAGAGGCTGCCAAATTTCCACCATTTCGTCCCCAGTCTTGCCAGCGAGCCCAGGACGGAAGTCACCATCAAGAACAAAGTCAAGACGATGACCGCTGGCGCCTCACTATCCGGGGAATACCTGCTCATGATGGCGGGGTGACCAGCAGGCTGAATGGGAGATCATGAACATGTACCTAGGACATGACGGAGAGCAAATCTGTCCAAAGGACCCAGAAAAGAGACAGACTTGACCGTCAGACTGAAGCAAAGGAGTGCAGGGCGCGTATAAGACCGAGACCATGGCCAGGGATCCTCGTGCACGCCCCACGCAGAAGGATTTCTCGGCTGCATCTACCGAACAGGGGCAGTCAGCCATTTTCGATTACTATCCGCGGCACAAAAGGTATTCATGATTCTGTGCGGTGGGATTCATATTATTTTACGGGCTAGGCTTCGGCTGACATGTGGTGGCTGGTGGTCCCTGTGCATATGGAACTGTGATGAGACCCTGGCCTAGGGTTCATTTGTCCTGTGAAAGACCCGAATGCGTCTCGATCAAATGAGTAATGTCGCAGATCGAGATTGAATAGAGAGTAGGACTCATGTTATTGATTGCCTGGGTGGAGTTGCTCGTAGAAACGAGCTGCATGATGGGAAACCTGGTGATGCGCAATAAGATGAAGTGGATTCTGCATCAATTGCCTGATCATTCAGCCCAAAAGGGTCTAGTATGGTGAGGGAATCGACGAATAAACGCAGAGATATTGGCTCAGGATATCAAGTACCTTGGACGATATTAATTGATATGACTGCACCACTAGGGTGTGATGAAGACTACGCAATTGAATTGCTGCAGTTGTCCACACCCGCAATGCACTAAGCGTAATCAATTCTGATCTAGTCTGTCTATACCCTAGACAGGGTTACACCAGCAAAATAAGGCCAAGGCCTGTGCCGTGTTGTTTCTGAGACAGGCGCTGATCCTGGCGTCCCGCTAAAACGGGCCCGGGCCTGATCGGATCAACAGGCTTCTCTTCCGGGCCCACGTCTAACGGTCTAGTCATGTTTAAGGAGGTCATATCTATTCGGTGGTGGTTGTCTCCATTCTCCGTAGGTAAACATAAAATAGACGGTGGATTCGTGGAATCGTAATTAAGGTGCCGAGGATCAGTGGGGAGTGGCATATTCCACCACACAAACACCCTTGATCGCCGTCGACCAGCACATCGTCCTCCACAGAATTATTGCGTAGAGAATTGTGCTGTCTACACTCTTAGCCCCGAATCAAAACGGACTTTTGGACCTTCTTGTCTCGGAATTATTCAATAACCAAGAGACAGGGATATATATGCAGACTCCTGTCTATCCATGTCTAGAGGCCATCGCTAAAGACGCCCCTTGCAAGGATATGATGCCACATCAGCAGTTAGCATTGGCAGTGATATTGTCCGCGGGAAATAGCCAGGTTGTGTTTAATATATTACGATAAGTCTAACTCCAATCGAGACGTTTCTCCGATTCCTTCTTATGTCCGCAGACTCTATCATCACCATCCCTGCGGCGCCAAGAAGCGGCGTATCGAAACATCTGAAGGGAAGTGACAAATGAATGCAACGATACGCAGACACGTTGCGCATCATTAATCCTCTCTGTCGCAAGTCAGAAGTCCCAGAGAGGGCAGGTCATTCAGGGGTTACACTTGTACGGGAGAGAGTAGTCTACATACATGTCGCCTCCCACGAGGGTTGTGAAGCGGATCGGCTGGTACCGACCAAGCGCATTCCATTCCATCCTCGGTAACTGTCGCATACGTAGCATTGTTTCATTCTTTTGTTTCGGATCTGGGACTGGCAAGCCGCTAATTTATAACCGAATTGTATGGTGGATGCGGTGCCTTGGACTGGACTTGAACCGGCAATGCGTTAGTGAATAGCATCCATGCAATTCAATAACTCACTACTCTACGACCTGCTCAAAACAGTAGAATCACATTCGTCCCTTCATCTAGCAGGAACTAGCCGAAGTGGCCAAGTCAAATCCCTGAACGACCAGTCCGGACTCTGATTTTTCAATCCCCCGCCGTCTCCTTCCTTTATATTGTACCTCCTCTGGGGAATCTAGTTTGTTTCCTCAGATACAATCTTCTTATCATCCCCTCCTGATAGTCTATCAATCTCCTGTGCAATGTTGACGCATGAGATGAAGGCCCTGGAGCCTTCGAGTCCTCAAGAGCTCGGCGGCTCACTGTCGAGCAAAGACATTGATGAAATCCACCTGGCTCGTCTAGGAAAAAGACCTGTTCTGAAGGTGAGTTGTTCTGATTCTCGATCGGTCACACAGAATTTGTGACTCGTCACTGACGCGCGACCGTTGCAGCGCAATTTTGGAATGCTTTCCATGCTTGGCTTCAGCTGTACGATTCTAGTGACCTGGGAAGGATTTACTGTGTATGCATCCATCTGATAAGGAATCCCGACGGATCTTGCTAATACACGCTCGACAGACTGTTCCTCCAGCCACTAACCAAGTACGCTCCCCTGTCGATCTAATCGCCTTCAACACTGACAATGAACGACAGTGGTGGTCCAGCTGGAGCTGTTTATGGTTTCCTCTTTGTTTGGGCAGGCACTGCCTGCATCTTTGTCGTCCTCTCTGAATTGGCGTCCATGTATGTTTGTTCAGATTCTGTATCTCATGTCGACCGCGGTTGCTGACGACCACTTAGGGCTCCGACATCTGGTGGACAATACCATTGGATCTCCATGTTGGCTCCGCGATCGACCGTGAAATTCCTCAGTTACATGTCTGGATGGCTCACCGTCATTGGATGGCAGGCCACCTTTGCTACAGCGTGCTACCTCTGCGGTACTATGGTCCAAGGTGTCGCCGTCCTCACGCGTCCCAACTACCACCCCCAGTCATGGCATCCTACCTTGTACTTCTGGGCCATCGTTGCCTTCGCCGTCAGTATCAACGTGGTCGGTCGCAATGTCCTTCCCAAGTTCGAGGGACTTATTCTTGTGGTCCACATTCTCGGCTTCTTCGCCATCCTCATCCCGCTCGTCTCGTTGGCGGACATTGGCTCCGCCAAGGACGTCTTCACCGAGTTTATCAATCAAGGTGGCTGGCCGACCCAGGGGCTGTCGTTCTTTGTTGGCTTGATCGGCTCTGTTTTTGCCTTTGTGGGAGGTGATGCCGCAGTGCACGTAAGTCCACCATTCATCTCTCATGAAAAGCCAGTTCCTAACATCTGTAGATGTCGGAGGAAATCCAAAATGCTCCCGTGGTGGTACCTCGCTCTATCCTCCTCAGCGTGCTGATCAACGGTCTGTTGGGATTTGGCATGCTCCTCGCTCTTCTCTTCTGCTTGGGAGACATCGATGAAGCCCTCGAGTCTCCCACAGGGTACCCTTTCATGCACATCTTCTACAAGGGAACTGGCTCCCTCGGAGGTGCGGCCGCCATGGTCTCCATCGTCATTGTCGTCTGTATCTGTTCGGCCACCGGCATGATGGCTGCGACTTCTCGTCAGTTTTGGTCATTCTCGCGCGATCGTGGTGTTCCCGGTTGGAGACTATGGAGTCGGGTGCGTTATCCTTCTTTATAGAGCCATCACTCGCGCTAATATATGCTCGTCTAGGTCTCTCCGACTACCGCTATCCCTGTATGGTCTGTCGCAGTCACCACCGTTGTGTCGGTCCTGTTGGCGTTGATCCCCATTGGATCATCTGTCGCCTTCAATGACCTCTGTGCCATGTCCATTACCGGCTTGTTCCTCTCCTACATCATGGTCGCCGTCCTTCTCCTCTGGAGACGTATGACTGGTGCCATCTCGCTGACTGCTGGCGCTGACGAGACCGTGAACACAATCGGAGCCAGACTAGTCTGGGGTCCCTTCCGCGTCCCTGGTATCTGGGGAATCATGATCAATGTCTTTGCTATTATCTACTGTCTCATTGCTATCTTCTTCAGCATGTGGCCCACCTTCAGCGAAGTGACGGTGGAGACGATGAACTTCAGCTCGGTGGGTACCGTCAGTGTGATCCTCCTGAGCGTTGTCTACTATGTCCTCCGCGCCCGTCATGTCTATGAAGGGCCGATTGTTGAGACAGTGCCTCGGTAGACAGATTCGGGATGCAGCTATCAAAAGCAATGAATTCGTTCCGCCGTGATTCTGTACAGATTTGAAAAAGCTATGTAACTTAAACGAGGCGCATCTATAATATTTACTTGACCCATTTCAATTCGCTTCCCTCCTAGACCTGCTCTGTCTCATCGAGCCGCGCCAATGGCGTCTCTCCCTCGACATATTTGCCTAAAACAGGACGCCACATCACCCTCTCATCGATGGGCAGGAAAGTCTCCTCACAGTGCATCCATTCCTTTTGCTCCTCATCGGACAACTTGCGCGTCGGAATCGGCTTCACGCTATTGGAAACAACCTCTCGAAAGCCATACTTCTTGTAAACGGGCGCTCCAAACTCCGAGGCGTCTAGCCACGCTTCCACGCCCAGCTCGTCGGCCTTCTCCACCCCCCATCTCATGAAGAGATGGCTGAGGCCCTTGCCGCGATACTCGGGGAGGGCAAACGCAATGTGGAGAACTAGAGGTGTATTATTAGAGTCTCCCATATACCCGGATTAACTGGCAAACTTACAAGCATGGGGTCGTCGGGCCATGCTCTCCCGCGGATGCTCAAACTGCCTGACTGCCTGCGTCGCCCACTCCCTCGTCACTCCCTCGGGGAACCAGTCCGCCACAGTCGGGCCCTCCTGTTTCGCAAAAGGGTCCTCGGGGTAAAAGTACCATTTGGCAGCCGCGGCGATCTTGTTGGCTTCCGTATCCACGACTTTGATCCAGGTTACATGCGGCTGCTCTTTGTGGTACTCCTCCAGTTGAGCCTTGACGCATGCCTTGAGACTGCCCTCGCGATCATTGTTGTGGATGGGAAAAAATAAGCGGACGATGCCTTGGTAAGGATTCTCAAAGGCTTCCCAGAGCGCCCTGTACAGCTCGGGGAAGTCGTCGTCACTCACGACCTCTACGCAGAATTTGGGCTGCATGGCGGGTCGCTATGAATATACAGTAAGAAGTTTAACGGGTAAGAGATGTGAAGCCACACGATTGGCTTATGTATGGCTTCACGTTACATCAGAAAGTAAATTAATGCCTATCACGCCATACCGGAATAGTTCATCTAGTGATATTACGCTATTAATTCTGTCTTACTCCGACTCGAGTCATTTCGGCATGTGGCATACGTGGTCTTTTGCATATGCCCCTGTCTAGTCAGAACGGCACAGCGACATGGGTATATGCATACCAGCAGATGATTGGTTCGATTAATGCGCATGTCTCAAGGAGGCAATCAATCATGTAACCATCCTGCAGTCAGACATAGAATCCGTTAAGCGATTCCGTTAGGCTAATAAGCTGTGGGGGCACCAGCAATAGAATGGCCCAGTGCTGAGACTGCTGGTGCTTCGAGCGTTGACACCTTAAAACAGCATCCATTCTTGTAGGACTCAACATTTTATCATAATTAAAGTTGAAGATCTCCCATTACGATCGACCCACAAAAGTCTAATCCGTATAGGGATCATGCTTGTATGCATCTTCATCTTGCGACAAGCAGCGGGAGCCGATAAACAGTAGGCTAACGCCGACGCTTGCTCGACTTCTACCAAGCCATCTTTGCCAAAACACCATGTGGCCATCTCCTCACTGCGGCTTTGCGCAGCTCGTCCAGACCAAGGATCCCCAGACCGAAAGCCGCCGGCAGGAAGTAGTGCTCGGCCGGGACACTAGTCGTGTCCAGCACCCGTTGTAAGGGCGGAATGTACAGCCAGAAGACAGCAATCCCCAAGGCAAAAAGGATCGCCGGGAATAACAGCAGGTTTTGTGTTTTCTTGTTGAAGGCGGGTGGGTGCGAGAAGATTGACAAGCGGCGGGTCCGGATGGCCATCAGATTGAACCATTGCCTGTGAGCGTTAGCCTTTCTGGTATGGTAAACGCATTATGGGGTGCAGCATACATTACAACCAAGTTGATAAAATACACTGAACTCGCCTCATTCAGCCGCGCAGTGTACCAGTCAGGATCGACGTTGGCTGGGACCGCACCGAACTTGAACCACAGAGCTGAAAATGGAATGCCATTGCGCTGCAGGTACCAGTAGGCCATGGCAAACGATGCTAGAGTCTCCAGCATGCCGATGACTCCATATGCCTGAAGGATGAGCTTCCAGTTTACCAGCCGTTCCTTCTTGGGTTTACGGGGCGGGCGAAGTAGCACGTCCGCTTCAGGAGCTTCGTACGCCAGAACAGTGGCCGCCGCGCAGTCAGTGAAGCAGCTGTATCAGTTAGTCAACGTCCATAACGGGAGCAACGTGGCAGAAATACCAGATGATGATCATCAGAAACGAGGACAAGACCTGCGGAAGGCCAAAAACCACACTGGTCATGACCGGCCAGAACTCGGACCAGGAGCCGGCTGGAAGCAGGTAGATGATTGTCTTCTTCAAGTTATCGAAAACAACTCTTCCATACTGCACAGCTTCGACAATAGCCGAGAAGGAATCCAGGAGAACCATGTCAGACGCCTCGATGGCAATGTCTGAGCCACTCCCCAGCGCGATGCCGATATCAGCCGCCTTGAGCGACGGGGCATCGTTCACGCCGTCACCTGTCATTCCTACAATCTCCTCTCGTGCTTGGAACTCGCGAACAATCCGCAGTTTCTGCTCCGGGGTGGTTCTCCAGAAGACGATTTCCCTGTACTGGCAGAGCTGATCCCACTGGTGTTCGTTCAGAGCCATCAGTTCACTCCCGCTGAGGGTAATTGCAGGCGATCGGGCCTTCTCGTTGAATTTGTCATTGACCGAGGGAAATCTCTTCAGGGCCGTTGCATCGTCTACAGGCACTCCTGCGGTGACGATACCGCACTGGCGCGCGATCTCGAGAGCTGTCAGGCCGAAGTCACCCGTTACCTTGCACCATCCACTTTAGCCAATCGCCAAACGTATAGAATGAATGGGGTTGAGGCAACGCTTACCATGAAGATTCTGATTCCTGCCCGCCTCAATGTTCTGATCACGTCCGGAATCTCGTCTCGAGGAGGATCAACGATACCGACCAGGCCCACCAAGACAAGACCGGTCCTGATCTGGTTTGTCACTTCGGCTTCGAACAAGTGGGAGAAGGGTGAACTCTGTATTTGGCCCGCTGAGAAGGTTTTCCTGGCCAGGAGGATCACGCGTTTGCCTTCATTTGACCATTGGTCTTTAATTTGCTTCAACCGGTCGAGTGTACTGGTGTTCAGAGCCTGCACACTGCCGTCAACACTCACGACATGCGTGCAGCGATCAATGAGGATGTCCGGGGCGCCCTTGATTGTAAGCAATCTATAGTTGCATAAGTGGTCAGCATGGCTCAGAAAGTTAGAGTCGCCGGACATTACTCACGTATCATCACCAGAGAATTGGGCCAACTCAGCGGGCGACATGGCGTGGCCGAGTCCTGCCCTGTCCACCGGACTGAATGTGCGCACCATAAACTTGTTCTTGCTGTTAAAGGCAAGATCATATGTCTTCTTCCACATGCTGCGCAGGTCGGAGACTGGCCCCAATCCTTCGGAGAATCGTAGAATCGCCTGATCAGTGGCATCACCGATGACCTTTCTCTCGTGGACGGGCAGATTCATGGTGGCCGCATCAAACTCGGCGGCGTTGCAGAGACCAGCAACTGCACGAAGTTGATGAATCGCCGATGCCTTTCCTTTTAGGACCATTTCATCTCTTGCTCCGTCCGAGGTGAACGTGGAGATAGAAACCGCACAGTCAGTGACGAACATTCTGTTCTGCAGTACGTCAGCGAAGATCTCGAGATAGGATCGGAATCTTCTGAGCTAGAATGCGTAATTACCTTGGTCAAAGTACCGGTCTTGTCGGAACAGATCACTGATACGGAGCCAAGGGTCTCGACCGTCTTGAGGGACTTGCAGAGAATCATGTTCTTGCTCATCAGATTGGCAGTAATGGTCAAGTTGGCAGTCAGAGCAATCGGCAAGCCTTCGGGGATAAACGCAATGGCGACGCTGACGCAGTCCACTATCAGCGTCGGAACGTTGATCCAGCCCGGGTGATCTCTTCGCAGCCAGGTAGCCCTATTGAGAAGTCAACGATCAGTGCGTCTTGCCTGTGATGGCCATTGTATCCTTACCAGACAATAATGATGATGATAATCATGGTCAGCATGATCAACACGATAAGAGCGACAAATCGCAAGACTTCCTTCTCCAATGTGGTCAAGCCCGTCTTCGGCTCACTGGTGAGTTTCGCGATTCGACCAAACACCGTTGCGTCTCCGGTCGACACGACAATGCCCGTAACACTTCCCGACACGCAATGAGTGCCTTGAAGGCCGACATTATGAGTCTCGAGGTAGTTCTCATCTGTCGAGTCCACCGTCCCGTTGACGGGAAGCGATTCGCCTGCCGTTCGTAAGCAACACATCTGAGGCACGCCTGACCAGACGACACTAACCGGTGAGTATCGATCGGTCGAAGCATGCATCATTCGAAACCTCAACAAAGCGGATATCTGCTGGCAGTTTATTGCCCGCCTTGAGATGCACAACATCCCCCGGCACAATTTCCGGGCCTGATACGACTACGAGTGAACCACCACGCATGACCAGGCAGCTTTCAGGGAGCATGGCCGTGATGGATGCCATGACTCTGGACGATGACCAGTCTTGCCATGCGTTGAAGGCTGCCTGGATGAAAAAGACGGCAAGGAGCACAATCGCTAGGGCGAGGTTTGCCAGAGCTGGCGGTTGACCGAGGGGTTTCCAGGAAATAAACACGAGAATACATCCGATCAGGAGAATGGCACCAAATCCCTTGAAGAAGTAGCCGAATACCTGCCAGAACCATTGATGCGGCAAAGGTGACAGCGCATTTTTGCCGTATTTATGGAGCCGTTCCTGGACCTGATTCGGGGGGAGACCTTGCGCGATGTCCACTTGCCATCGTTTCTGGAGCTCTTCAACGGAGATGGTATGCCAGTCAAGATGGGAAAGATCTGAGATTGGTTCTCGTTAGTAAGTGCACCTACTGCAGTGACAAGCAGTTTTCAGTGTTTCCATACCTGCCGCGACACCACTTTGTGCTTTTGCTTTTTCACGCTCTTCCCGTTCCTTGGCTTCGTCAATATCAAATGAGCTGTTTTGTCCGCATTAGACAGTTTCATCCATCAGATATTGCGGCAGGAGAGGTTGTAGGTACATGGTTCGATAGTGGATTGGCAGCGACACTGAAGGGTCGACTATCGTTCTCCTATGACGACTGTGGACAGAAACATGCGAGCTGGAGGCAGCCGAAGCAGTCCGGATCAGCTCAGGACGACTGCTCCTTGTCTGATTGCCCGACTCTTCGTCTTCAGGCCGCCATCGCAGACGTGTAACTTCCTCATCGGCAGACTTGTGCTCAGTTGGGTCCATTTGTTGCCCAAAGCGATCTTCTCAGAACAAGTTGCAGCAAGAGAGGGACACCAAGGATCGTGATATTGGTGCTCCAGAGTCGAAGAGCATTCCATTCTCTTTATAGCTCTCAGGCTGGGTCTATAGACCATGTGGTCCTCTGTGCATCTGTCCATGAGGAGTATAGCAGCGAGACATCTCGTGGCGTAGAAAGCTGCGCGATTAATGATGGCCATAGCTCTTTAGCCGAGCAGCTGCGTCGGTGGTGGCTGAGATATCAGTTCGGGCTTTTTGAGACGTCAATAAATCCCTCTTCTTGATGTTCAAAAAGTTTGCCAACCAATTGTTAAGCTGCGACATGGCCTTATATGCAACCTTGTTTTCTTCCTGATGGAAGATGCGAGGTTATTGATCGAGTCGTCCATGCTTGAGGCTTTAACCACCAACCAGATAGATTTCCCGAGTTGCGCCCCCACTACAGTAGCCTTTGCCGTCTATGCGCGATATAGTTTACACTCCTCGACGGCATATGTTGTGTGATTCTATTACCTATCTGCTGCAATTTATCTCTAGAGGACTGCATCTAATTGTTCCCTTGTTGCAATATGGGGTTGTTTCAAACCGCATATTTCATGCTCGATGCGCTTACTTGCTGGTCCCTCGTTCATCCTAATGTCCACCTCACCTTCTTAGGTGTTAAAAATTACGTAAAGAACTTGTAATGATACCAGTATCGTCACTGCCTTTGCTAACAGTCTTTTCCTTCTAATAATGGCTGACTTTTTTTTGGTTCAATTGGATGGAGTATACTAGGTGGGAATATCGCCCATTGAATTATATATATCAAAGTCCGTGGCCGTAATATAGCACACCACTGCATGACGGAGTATATATATGAGAAATATGGTCCAGCAAGGCTTAACGGCAACATATCTTATAATTGCAATCTAAGTCAAATGGCCCTTCGGTGCAAGACCTCATCTGTGACCGTTTCGAGGTTGCCAGCCATGAGGCACGTGACCACACACTAACAGCCCACGCTCCTTGTTCTCTGCTCCGTCAGGGTTTTCCTTCGATCTTGTCCAAGATACAACACCTAGAGTCAGACCTCAGAATATCTATGTCCTCAATTTCATAGGACATTTTCTATCATTCAGTCTCAATCTGACTGGATGAATTGTGTGAACTGATCCTGGATGAGATTGCTCATTTGCTGATCTGTATTCGCAGTGTCCCACTTTCAGTGGAGTGACCGCCGCACAGCCGAGAACAAGCCACAAATCATCGTTGTCAATGTCCCAAATTTCCCTTCCACCACCACGCGTCGTCCATAAACTCGACCAGCAGCAACCGTGGCGTGGGCCGCAAAGCGTCCTATCAAACACATTTAAACCTTATGAAACTACGACCATATCGCACGCACCAAGCCTTACAGCGGGTGTCGTCAGCCACTGGCGGCGACGATCAATGGAAATCCCTGGTCGATTTTTGGCTGGCTGACGATTGTTCCCCGGCCTAGTGTATGATCGCTGCCTTGAGATCATCTCGAACCTCAAGATCTAGGAATGATTGCTATCAGGAGTGCCAGGGGCAGGCATACGAACATGGCCCCGGGTGCGGAAAGGGCCCTAAGCGTTGATGTTGACAAGCAGCGAAGTCATCTCGGAAACAATAGCGACGTGTGAGAAGTTGCCGGATGTCGTTGCTCCACAGGACCCAGAACCAGGGATCAAAATGTGCCAAACTGTGTCATCATCCAGCAGGCGGCGCTGTTCTCACTAAGCAAAGTCCTAATAATAACTGTCCGTCAATCAAGATTGGACAATGACAGAGGTGGGACGGTTGAACAGGCCCATCATAATGAAAATATTTGTCTGCGATGCTGCCTGGACAAAGGCAGTGTCTCTTATCGACAAACCCTCCAGTCAGACCTCTTTTGACGTCGTATCTAACAATAGAACCATCTGTATCTGATCCGTGGTAAGATCAGTTCCACCACGAACGGCATATAATTGCGACCCTTAGTTTCTTAGTCAGGTACAATTCTTCAGTCTTGCAACATTCATCTTCCCCGACCGATTATACCGACATCCAACCTGCCCGTTCAAGCGCCCACTGCCAAAATGGGCACTCCAACGCCCTATTCGGCGCATTCACCGCAGGAAAGCCGAAGCAGCTTCTACTCTCAGCCCTCTCCCTCTCCTACCGTGAGTTTCTGACCAGAGTAGTATGATGAAGAACGCGACAAAGTTGACCTTGCTGTGAACAGCTTACCTACGGTCGCGATGACGCGGAAGATCAACAACAGACCCTCCTTCGACGCAGTGTAGCCAGCCCTAATGGCTGGTCATACGATGATCCCAACATATCGACCGACTCCCTGCGGCGATACACACTGCATGATCCCGGGATAACCGCATTTGCTCACCCGTACCCGGAATCCGAAACCGCCGATGTCCACAGCGCACGGATGTCGGAATACAGTGGAATCGAGATGGATGCCTGGCAAAGACGACAAGGTTTGAAACCGAGTGCGCTTCGGCGATATGGAACAAGGAAGATCAACCTGGTCCAGGGTTCGGTGCTCAGCGTTGACTACCCGGTTCCGAGTGCGATTCAGAACGCGATCCAGGCGGAGTATCGGGATGCGGAGGAAGCGTTCCATGAAGAGTTCACACATATGCGGTGTAAGTACTTATGCCGAAATGCGATCGCCCAACAGTCGACTAAGGAGGTCTAGATACGGCCGCCACCTGCGACCCGGATGAGTTCACCCTGCGCAACGGCTACAACCTTCGCCCTGCCATGTATAACCGTCATACAGAGTTGCTCATCGCCATCACATATTACAATGAGGATAAAGTCCTGACCGCCCGAACTCTGCATGGTGTGATGCAGAACGTCCGAGACATCGTCAACCTGAAAAAGTCAGAGTTCTGGAACAAGGGAGGACCGGCGTGGCAGAAGATTGTGGTGTGTCTCGTGTTTGACGGGATTGAGCCCTGCGATAAGAATACCCTGGATGTCCTCGCCACGATAGGTGTGTATCAGGACGGGGTGATGAAAAAGGATGTGGACGGGCGCGAGACAGTCGCACACATTGTGAGTTATGCATGGCAGCGCTTCCGTCAAAGAAACATCACTGATAAACACTCAGTTCGAATATACGACACAATTATCTGTCACTGCAACACAGCAGCTGGTCAGACCACAGCCTAATGATCCTCGCAATCTCCCCCGGTCCAGATGATATTCTGCCTCAAGCAGAAGAACAGCAAGAAAATCAACTCCCACCGGTGGCTGTTCAATGCCTTTAGTCGGATTCTGAATCCCGAAATATGCATCCTACTCGATGCTGGCACGAAGCCCGGCAGCAAATCGTTGCTTGCCCTATGGGAAGCATTTTATAATGACAAAACGCTGGGAGGAGCGTGTGGCGAAATCCATGCGATGTTGGGCAAGGGATGGCGCAATGTGTTGAACCCTCTCGTTGCAGCACAGAATTTCGAGTACAAAATTTCCAATATCCTCGACAAACCACTGGAAAGCGCCTTTGGCTACGTCAGTGTGCTCCCAGGCGCCTTCTCGGCATATCGCTACCGTGCGATCATGGGCCGACCGTTGGAGCAGTACTTCCACGGTGATCATACTCTGTCCAAGCGGCTGGGAAAGAAGGGTATTGAGGGTATGAATATTTTCAAAAAGAACATGTTTCTTGCCGAGGATCGCATCCTATGCTTTGAACTGGTGGCCAAAGCAGGATTCAAATGGCATCTCACGTACGTCAAAGCATCCAAAGGAGAAACGGATGTCCCCGAGGCGGCGCCGGAATTCATCAGTCAGCGGCGACGATGGCTCAACGGCTCCTTTGCTGCGAGTCTGTATGCCATCATGCACTTTGGACGCATCTATAAGAGTGGTCATAGCTTGGTTCGAATGTTCTTCTTGCATATTCAGATGATCTACAACTGCTGCCAACTCATCATGACCTGGTTCTCGCTGGCATCCTACTGGCTGACCAGCTCGGTCATCATGGACCTCGTGGGGACACCCAGCTCGCATAACAAGAACAAGGCGTGGCCATTCGGCAACGATGCCACTCCCATTGTCAACTTTTTTGTTAAATATGGTTACCTTTTGGCGCTGATGCTCCAGTTTGTGCTGGCTCTGGGAAACCGACCCAAAGGGTAAGTTGCCGGAATCTCCATGCGGACAAGAAAATTGCTGACACAGACAGAACCAAATTTGCCTACACCATGTCGTTCCTTTGGTTTTCTCTGGTGCAGTTTTACGTGCTGATCCTGTCGTTCTACCTGGTCGCCAATGCGTTCATGGGTGGCATGATGGACTTTGATTTCGACCAAGGCGTGGGCCACTTCCTCTCCTCCTTCTTCAGCTCCAGTGGCGGAGGGATCGTCCTGATCGCTTTGGTGTCCACTTACGGCATCTACATCGTCGCCAGCATTCTGTACATGGACCCGTGGCACATCCTGACCAGTTCCTGGGCGTACTTCCTAGGCATGACCACGTCGATCAATATTCTCATGGTGTATGCGTTCTGCAACTGGCACGATGTCTCGTGGGGTACGAAGGGATCCGATAAGGCGGACGCTCTGCCCTCGGCGCAGACCAAGAAGGCCGACGGCAGCAAGAGCAACTTCATCGAGGAGGTCGATAAACCGCAGGCGGATATCGACAGCCAGTTCGAGGCCACTGTCAAGCGGGCGCTGGCTCCGTACCAGGAACCGAAAGAAGACTCGACTATCAGCATGGATGATTCCTACCGCAACTTCCGGACCAACCTGGTGCTGCTGTGGATCTTGAGTAATTTGCTGGTCTCACTGCTGATCACGAGCGACGGCATCAGGAAGATGGCTCTGACGGTAAGTCCTGGATTTCCCTGAATGCGCATGAGATAGTTACTGACGTTGAGACAGAACACATCCACAACGCGGACGCAGTATTATTTCCAAGTGATTTTGTGGGCGACAGCTGGACTGTCTATCTTTCGATTCATTGGGTCGCTCTACTTCCTGGGCAAGTCGGGAATTTTGTGTTGCGTAGCACGTCGATGATTTAGAGCTTATAGCATTGCGATAGAGAACGAACGAATGTGAAGAGTCATGAACTGCATGTCTATCCCTTACTACCAGGATAAAACTCCCGAGCATACCTCACTGTAAAGACATATGGCTGCTGACATTCATTTGGTTTTGTCCGTATTATCTTTGCCGTCGGACCGGACCAGAAGACCCCCGATAATGGCAAGGACAGGAGCATATCCCCAGTGATTCCATTCTCCATGGCCGTTGCTCCAACACACGGCCCCATCGGCAATGGCGACCGCACTGGTTGCGGTCAACGTCCAACCCAGGGACTTGCGAGTGCCGAAAAAGCCCGCAGCGTAGACGGCGAGGCCCATGAAAATATCCCGCGCGCCGTATACAATCATTAGGCTGTCGACGAGGCTTCGGTCGCGGGGAGCGACTGGGGGTTCAAACTCGAAGAAGGTCAAGGCATGTTGGGGACGCAGGATGGCGTTGATACCAAAACAGATGGGGATGATTCCCATGACGGTGGTGAGGAGCGAGATAGACAGTGATTGAGACATGGTTGAGATGGCAAATAGATAGAACAGGAATGCGATTCTTGATAGTCCGGATGAGATAGGTTGCGGAGGTTGAAGATGGCCTATTTATTTATTCCTGTTGACAAGGCTGACATTGTCTTGGCTCCAGGCAGACATGTCATACTCTGGTTGACCCCGGTGATTTTGTTAGTACAGTAGGGCCTTGCATGGATAAATCATTATTATTTAGATATCTCTCTTAGATCCAGTCCAGTCCTTCATCCAATTCGATACCATCTTAATAGGGTTTAGATCAGGTGAGAAGGCAGGCCAGGTAATAGGGAAGATACTATACTCTTAGAGCTCCCCAAGGGTAGAGTTGCATTCAGTCTGAGTTCAGGCCAAAAACGGTTTGTCCCTAGCTTCGAATTCCAGTCAATGTGCTTATCCTTCCTCGGCAGGATGATGGCTACAGCATCGAACATATTCAACCATCTTGCAAACCCTTTCTTCACTTCCATCTGGTCCCTTGAAAACAGCTACTAGCTAGCTAAAGGATACTCGCGCTCTTATATGCATTGTCTGACCGATATTCTAATCTGAACTCTAAAATATCCTGAAGAAAATGACACTTCTGGACACCAAAATGAAATACTCTTGTTTAATGCCGATAGCCCCGGCAGTGTCTGTGACATCTTGTTCTTTGCTAAGGACATATGGCCAGCTGCTGTCAACCCTCTTCGTGCTTCCACAACGGGTCATAGGAGTTGATTATATCAGTAATATATTTCCTCAACTAACGCCTCATCAACACGAATTCTAGACTAGCAATATGCCATCTCTATACAAGATCAACCCTAGCAACAATACCGCCGGTAACAGTGCTATTGATGCCAATCGCAGCGTCAAGTACCCCTGCGGAGGAAATATACAGACTGTCTCGGTCCAACAGAGTTCGACCAAACGACACAGCAGATGCTGATGCTAGATAGGACGACTCTGCAACTACCCGCGCACGTCTTGCAGGAATGTCGACTTCAACCAAACGATTCTGACCATTCATGGCGATCCACGCAGTTTTCCCATCCGTAGAAACAGCAAAGTCATCGCCTTGGACGCCTTGAACAATAACTTCGATAGGACCGGTAGGGATGCCAGTAGTCAACGAGATAGGGATTCGGCCAAAGATACCCTTATTGAGGTTTGTAAAAAACAGATATGAACCCCGGACATGGATCCCATTCACAGCGACTTGTAAGCCCCCGGACGAAGACTTAAGGACCTCATCATCGACTATTATTTGGAAGGAACCGGTGTGAGTGTCTAGTTTGAATATTCTCCCTGCCTGCGAGTCGGAAATCAGGAGTGTTGTTGCATCGTGGTCTGCTAAGCGACACATGCCATTCAGTAGTCGGGCACTGCCGATATTGGCCACTAGTGAAAGAGGTGGTTCTCGTTTTGCTGTCCTGTTCGACGCAGAGAAAGAACCGTGGCCGCGCATGTCGATTCTCCAAACAGCGTTTGAGCCTGGGACTCCCTGAACAGAGCTCAGATTCGCGCTAATCACAAAGAATACGTCCTCCTCCAGTTCTGTAATACCAAGCAACCCGGTTGTCGCAGGGATATCGACAATACTGCTGATTTCGTCATGTCGAAGTGGGTCAACATGGTATAGAGTCGAGGAGCCAGTGGAGGTTAACAATAGTTGGCCATTGTGTCTGGTCGCAATATTTTCGAATGTTTGCGGCTGGGCGAACCTGCCGATCACTGTAAGGGGATAGGTGGTGGTGGTGGTGGCACGCAAAGGCAGGGAAACAGAGAGTTGGAAGAAAGTGAGCAGCCACAAGATGTGCCGCAGTGCTTCACTCTGTAGCATTCTGAAGTGTGGTTCAAACAGCGTTGGTGATTGTAAATGTTATTCAAGCTTTGAGTCTGCGAATGCAGTGAATGTATTCATCCACACCTTTATATGTTGCGTAGTGGTCTGAAAACGTCTAAATTGTCAGTATTTAGTGGCATAAATGGGTCCCAGTGATGGCAGGGTCCACTCCTCATCCTGAGTTCAAGACGCAAGTCGATGATCTGTGGATTTACCGGACATAAATTTGCGAACTGATCTGGCTATACCCGATATCTCCGAATCTTGTCATGGCAGCCAACGTAATTCCGTAGCAGAACATAACATGTATCCATCGCCAGTAGGGACGCGTCCAGCTACAACTTGAGCAGCTGCCCGACCCCGGATCAAGCCTTCTATTCAGTGAACATCAATTCCGTGCCATCTAATCTATATTCTATACGAACAAGAGCGGATTACAGTCTTTTCTTCCCTTTCGGGACCCGACAAAGCCAGTAGAGAAACACCGCCCCAAAAGTGTTAAAGGCCACATACGCCCAGAGCAGCCCAAAATCCCTCCATCGCATCGCGAAGTCAATGCTAAAATTCCTCAAGTACTGACTCGTGTTATCAACACGGCAATACCGGCATTGGTGGCCATCACCTCGCGCCGCTAAATCCAACAAGTACCCCCAGCCGAGGCCATGTACCTCTCCATGTACTCGCCACAAGTCCTATTCGCAGGAGGCGAAAAAGTCAGGAACTCATTAGCAGCGCAGTGCATCGGCGCATCACCCAGGCTCGTCGACAACAGGCCTGAAACGAGGTATGTGAACGGGTTGACGCGATACATGAAGATCCAGAAACCAGGGAGCGCATGCGGGCCGGCGAGGATACCGCAGAAGGCGTACATCATGATGCCCATGATGTTTGCGAGCGCGGCGGCCAGTTCGGCGCTCTCGACGCCGGCGATGAGGAGGTGTGCGAAGGAGCTGGCGAAGAGGAAGGTGGCCCAGATGATGAGGAAGGCGAGCGTGCTGCGGAAATGGACCGTGTCGGTGTATTCTGCGTTGCGGTAGAGGCCGACGGGGTAGAACCATGCCAGGAAGCATAGAACGGCCGCGATCTGAGTCTTGATTAGTCCGTGCCTGTGTCTGGGGCATATGTGCCAACGACTTACCGTGTTCCATGCAAACTCCACGGCAATATTGGAGAGGACGAACGCTTGCCAGGAGTAAGTCTTGGACTGGCGCTCGCGGGACTCGTATAGAGTTCGTTGTGTGACAAAGCTTGGGATGATTTGGAAGATGAGTTGGATGACGACGAAGAGGAAAACAAAGACACCAAACATCTGGTTCTGTAGGCCCTGGGCGGTGTTGTCACCTTTAAAGAAGGAGAAACCAATAAAGAGGGACTACAATTGCATAACTGTTAGAACACATACCAATGAACTGACCAGACAGTACTTACCGAGCCGACAGTCAGAATCGCCTTGGAATAGATATATGAAGGCGTCCGCCAGTACTGCTGGAACACGCGACGACCAACCTGGGCCAGCTGGGCAGGGAACGAGGCCGCAAACTCGGAGTAGCTGGATGGGTCGTCCGAATGCACAGACGAAGGTTGACCAGCCAGCTGTCTCAAGCGAGACAATTCCTGGCGAACTTGCTGATACTCTGGACTACTGCGCCATACAGCTGGCCAGTCGATATCCGTATGGGCTCCTGGCGCAGCTCCAATCACCTCGAGCATATGTTCCGCCGGGTTGGCGCCTTTCGGACAGGGGGGCCACCATTGCGGACAAAGTAATCCATCAAGGTCCTGGACCCCGATCCGATCTCCCCAAAATAGACTGTCCTTCCTCCCTTGGCGAGGAGCAGAAGTCGGTCGAAGCGCTGGAACAACATGGCCGACGGTTGATGGATAGTACATAAGATCGCCTGGCCGTTTCGAGTCAACGTCTCCATGAGGTTGCAGATCGACCAGGACGTCTGGCTGTCTAAGCCAGACGTGGGTTCATCCAGGAACAAGAGCAGCTTGGGACGGGCAGCCAGCTCCACACCGATGGTGAGCCGTTTCCTTTGTTCAACGTTCAAGCCTTCTCCGGGGACGCCGACAATCGCGTCGGCGTAGTCTCGCATATGCAGCAGATCAATCACCTTTTCCACGTACTCCAGCTTCTCCGTCCGGCTGTATTGGGGTGGTTGCCGCAGGAGAGCGCTAAATTCGAGTGCCTCACGGACGGTCGTAGTGGCCAGATGGAGGTCTTGCTGCTGCACATAGCCCGTCTTTCGCTGGAATGAACTGTCCCGCTGTCGTCCATCGACCAGCATTTCGCCAGTGACGACTCCGACAGTCGTCCGGCTGGCCAGGACATCGAGTAAGGTAGTCTTCCCAGCCCCGGAGACGCCCTAGGTACAGTACTCTTAGCGTCTCTCAAAATGTCACAGACGGCAGAAAAAGGACTTACCATCAGAGCAGTCAGTGTACCAGGTTTGATCCATCCATCAACATGATCAAGAATCCGCCTAGTTTCGCTTTTGATCTTCACATCATAACACACATCTTCCCAGTGAAAGATAGATGTCTGCTTCTCAACACCCGCAACAGGGGTCGGGGCCTCAGTGTACTTTTCATTCTGCACAGCAGAGCCAGTGGGCCGTTCCTCATCGCACTGGGCTTGCTTTGCACGCGCGATATGAGCGCTACCACGTCGGAATACAAGCACCTCACCTTTTGACCGCTTCGAAGCAACAAGCTCAGTCGTCACAAAATGGCACACGGCAAGGAAGAAGGTCATGGCGATGATGATCCCAAAGTTGCGCCAGCGGTGGCTGTTGACGTAGCCGTACGAGGAGCGCACAAATGCGTCGCCGGAAACGATATCCGAGCCGGAGACCGCTCCGACGGTAGAGCATACTCGGTGCGTGCTGGATACATCCTCGTAGCCCGGTCCGGCTGGTACAAAGGATGAACACGGGAACTCGCGTCCGTGGAACTCGTTTACCATGACGGCTTCAAAGCCATATGACACGGGATTGAGCCATCGAATCCATGAAGCCCAACCGCGCATGTACGGGACAGGGATGGTAAAGCCAGTATATAGAATAAGGGCCAGCAGAATGATAGACGAAGGGGCGAGGGCCTGGTCGATTGTCTTGGTCAAGGATGCAAACCAGCGGAAGAACATCGACATGGCCAGCATCATTGACGTGGAAATCAACAGGAAGAAGAAAAACGGGCCCGGCTCGCGCCGCAGGTTCGACATGAAGTATAGCGTGAGATTGACCAAGAAAGAATTCATGAACTTATATGGAAGACTCATGATGAAGGACGATACAGCCTCCGCACTCGGGTGGTAGTATGCGTAGCGGCTCTGTTTCTCCACAATGGTGCGTTTCTCGTACAATGTCAGAATCTCGAGAATACTGGCAAAGGCGTTGAGCAAGACCATCATGAAGAGAAGGGCGCCGCGGTAGAAGAACGAGGATGTGTCTCCCGCGAGGTTGTAAAAGATGCTGGCAATGATCAGAGCCTCGAAAAAGTTCCCGATGAGCATGGCCAATGTGACGCTGGGGTCGTTCTTGAGACGCTGCCATTCTCTCCACAAACACAGTTTAACCTGGCCCCAGTAGGACAAGGTGTATGGCGACTTCTCTCGCTGATGAGGCGACTTTTCCGCCCTACGTGAGAGAGCGAACTGGTGCAGATCGGGTCCCTCGAGCGGATGCTGGGTGCTAAACTTCTCGATTGCGTGCAGTAGGGACTGCCGTTGCGGACTATCCTTCCAACGCTGCGCGAACTCTTCCGGTGTCCGAGGAGCCTTATGATCAAACCCGGGCTTGACAACGCGTTCGACCGGACTGCACATCGAGGTGAGGAAATCGGCCGTGGTCTGTGATTCAGGGCACTGGAATCCAAGCTGCTCGAAGTAGGGTTTGGCCTCCTGCGCCGCACCAAAGTATATTTGCCGTCCTTCGTAGAGAACCAGGACCTTGTCAAACAACTATCCGTCCATCAGCAGGGACCTAGCGGGTTACAGTCGTATTCACTCACATCGTATGCCGCCTGAGGGGCCTGGTAGATGGCCACACATGAGGTAATTCCAAAGACATCGCTCTGCGTGCGCAACGTCCGACAGAATTCCACGGCATTCGCACTGTCAAGCCCTCGGGTACTATTATCCCAGCATTGTAGTGGCGAGTATCCCAGGGCGGCCTCGGCGATGGTGACTCGCTTCCTCTCGCCTCCGCTGACACCACGCACAAAGTCGTTCCCCACACGCGTGTTGAGCGTATGGCCAATGCCAAACATGGCCATGATCACGTCGCGCAGATGTTTGGCGTATTCCCGTCGGGATAGCCCCCCGGGAATCACCCGCGGTGCACGAGCAAGGGCGGCAAAATACAGCGTATCTCCTACGGAGAGCATCGGGAAGTGAGCGTCGACCTCGGCCGTGTAGATTGCTTCGCCGCGAAAAGCCGTCGACATCTGTTTGGGGCTGATGCCGTGGTAGTTGATATATGACGCCGAATCGACATTCACGCCGTGGGTCTCGCCCGCAATCGTTCTGAGAAACGTTGAGCAGCCGGAGCCAGGGGGCCCAAGAACACACAGCTGTTCCCCGGGAAGCACCAGGCCCTCGACGTCGCGCAGAATATCGACCCGCTGTTTCCCGCCTCCCAGGGCCTGTCGGATCATCGTTGGCACCTTCAGGAGCGCATTACCAACGCTCATCTGATAGTCCACGGGGCTACCATACCCAAATACATTCAGGTCTTTGAATGCGACACCTGCCACCCGAGGTTGATGGCCATTATCCTGCGGATAACGCGCGTTGTAAAAGGCTCGGGCCCATTTCCTAGCATCAAACGAAGGGCTCCGGGGGTTGAGACTGCCGTTTTCACCGGCGCTAAAGAGGAATGAATGATGTGACTGTTGAGATTGGGCGCTTAACTTGCGGACCAGGTTTGTCAACCGGCGGTCGATATCCTCAGGGGTGATCTTCTCGTCTGGAGCAGCATCCAGGCGTTCCTCGCCATCGGGGAGCTGAGTCTCGGGAGGGGTATTCTCCCCCGTTGACCAACGGATATCCGTCGGGTTCAGGGCCATAGGGATAATTCAACAGGTGCAAGGATAATGTTCGTACAGTTCCGACACCAGGAAGGTAGGAAAGGCTTGTTCCCGAATATTTAAACGTGAATGCCAGTATCCCACCCATCCATCTCGGCCGCCCGCGGACCACGTATTAAAGCAGAAAATGATCTCAGCAAGAATCCCGAAAGATCCAGATTACTTGGCACCGAATGCCATGACTCTGATTTGGAGCATTGGCTGCGACATCAAGGAGAGCTGCCTGGCCTTGGCCATCGTCTTCGGGTCCCGCGGAACCCGCGTCCTCCGCGGCGCCCTCCGCCAGCCCGGGTTCTCATCCCCGTTTCTATGGTGCTTCTCTAGAGAGTCCGGATGATCGTTGGTTGCTTACCGTCTGGACTGTTGCTACGGTAGACAACGAGTCAAGCCAAGTCACAATCATGTCTGCCTGGTGATCTCTTTCTTGGCATATCCTTGTAGCCATCATGACCAATCTCCGGTGCATAAACGGGATAGGGTTCGGCATAGGGCTGGGGAAACATTGTACGGCGACGATTAATGGAAGCACAGGAAGTGAGATCGAAGCCCTGTGTAAGTATTTTTATTTAGGTCGTCTGGATGACATTTGAAGGCCACCTCTGGTGTGGCCCATTGACCTCCTATCAAAACATTTTCGGCAGTATCAGCTCGGAAATATTGTCCACGGTTTCGCGTCTTCGGGGACCTGTGGCTTGATTCTATTGAGATCAACAGGCCTATACCAAGATAATGGAGTCCGCAGTCCTCTGCTCCCGCTTGCGATGGAGCGAGCTACCTCGGGCCCTGAGAAAGCTGGACTCGCTGCCGCCAAAAATCTTCCTTGAGCCCATTAGAAACGACCACGGCTGTGGTAGGGAATAGGCAGAGCTCAGTTGGCGCATGGCCCTCATGGTGCTGTCTAGAGCTACTCGACGGAATAGGCTATCTCTTGTTCTAATTATGAGATGAGCGCAGAAAGATGCTTGTCTCTCAGGCATGACGGAACGAGGAGTGCCAACCGGTCATGGTGACAAGTAGTCGGCTGAATAGGATTCACTGCAAGGGAGGTTGGTCATCCGAGAATCCTCGTTCTGCTTTCGTCCTTTGCCAGGAAAGCAAGACCAGATGACAAATGCATATGTTGATTCCCGGCATTGCCGGCTGTTGTAACAAGAGATCCAGACTTGCAGGCTTGCATGAATACAGGAGAAATACGAAAGAGGGGAGGTCAATATAGATAGGCATGTTCCATACAGTGGTGAAGATTATACTCGTGCGGAATGCTCGAGAGAAGACTGGAGGAGATGCAGAACAATATATCAGCCGAATACGAGCACCCAGCAGCTACGGTCCATATGTCGCGGTACATGTGCATCTGGGGAAGGGCGTCGCTGTCTATACGAGATTTAAATGTCTTGGCCAATTTAATTGACATCTGGAATCTGTCATCGATCCCTTGGCATCATCTTCGATATGGAAACAGCATCAGAGTGACACTGAGATGCAGTGCCAGTTCCTGTTGAGCTTCAGAGAGCACCTGCGAGAAGAAATGTATATAAGGTCTCTGCTCTCCCGGTCAAGGTGACATCTTCAAGCTTGACCAACCGCATCAACAATACTCTGACAGAAACAAGCATATCACTTTCATACAGTATGCAACTCCCCCACACAGGACGATCTGAACTGACGAATGTAGAGTCACCATGAAGATCGCAGCTCTCGCCGCCACTCTTGCCCTGGCCCTCGTCCCCAGCGTGTCCGCCTGGCGCGTGTACTTTTACCAGCTGAAGGAGGAAGAGGGTCCATCTATTACCAATGCTGGACCTGGAAATCCCGGGTTCAGGTGCCATTCCAACGTCGACCCTCTCAACCAGAAGATTTCCTCAATGAGGTACTACTCGGACAATCCGGAGGGCACCACCCGCTGCTGTCTTAAAGTATACGACAGCCCCGGCTGCAGAGGCGACCTTGGCTATTCGTTCTGCCGCAACCAGTTCCTCAACTTCGACGACATTGGTCACGACAACGATGTGAGCTCCTACTCGACCGACTGCTTCAGGATTTGAGCTCCGGCCCGCACATGGTCCACTGGCAATGAGTAAATCAGGGATTATGCCGAGAAGAGGATTATCGGTTGCTATGTGTATAGTATCGAAAGTACTTTAACGATACATTAGCAATACACAGCCGTTTTCATGATTTTCTCGGCTGCACTAGACTCTCAGTACTACTGCCCTGAGTTATCGGCCGTCCAGATCGAGACTCATGCCAGTGCATTTCAGTGGTCAGCACAATCCCATTCTTAGAAAGCCTGTCTCCCCTTTCATCGTCGTCTGCTTCGATCATCGTCTCTCCTTGCCCTCGCCTGGATCCCCGCGAAATGTGGTCGAGATCATACCCCATTGGCCCGCTGCGGCTGGCTCCGTACCTGTTATACTGCGGACCCGTCCGGCTCTTGTTGCTGCTAAATACTTTGGGAATAATCATGACAAAGAGTGGTTTCAGTGCGGGGGCGCAAGCCGCAATAATGGAGAGTCCCACTTCGATGGTCGAAATACAGAAGAGGAGCGTGTAGGTGTAGTCCGCTGGGATGTTGCGGTCGTAGTCGTCGAGCAGGATGACCCGTACGATTCCAGAGATAACCGATCTTCTCACATCAGTCATCAATCGTTCCCAAAAGTAAAAGAATACTAACATGAGACCCAAGGACAGAATTCCGATTAGCATCAGCTTCTGACTCCGCGCGATTTTCAGGTTATACACAATCCAGGTTGGAAGGATCAGCACCAGCACGTCAGTGAAGATGGAGGCACAGGCGGTTCCGGTGACAAAGTTGGCGAAGTTGATACATTTGGCGTTTGGGTATGACATAGGATCCCAGTTGGACGCAATTGGGACACAATGCAACATTGTGATGAGGAAGGTGGCCACCATGGCGATCCCGTTGAGAATCAACAGGGCGTATATCGCTCTCCGTACGTTCACCTTCTGACCAGTCAAGCGTAACAGGAAGAGGAGGATGGAGGTTTTGATGAGGGCGAGAACGGGATTGTATAGGAGTAATGTCTGAATGACAGTTAGCATGCAGCGAACAGGAATTGAGTCTAACATACAGCGTAGGAAAACTTTGCTCCCAGCGCGGCGGGAAAGTCCTTGGGAACGTCCCAGATATGGTAGCCGATATACATGTATTTGATGACTGGAATATGTTAGTTAACGCAGGAAAAGGCTCATATATTAACGTACCATAGTAAGAAGTAATGGTCTCAGCCCAGTAGAGGACCTTGGTTCAGGTCAGTTCAAGGATTCATGGAAACATCCGTGTCACCCACCTCTGCAAAACAAATCACCCAGTCATCTAAGTCGTGATCAGCATGCCTCCACCCCAATATAGTACGATCTGGGAACCTACCCGCTGCGAACGTCCGTGTCAATACTACCCGACTGTAGATTCGAAGGCCCACCACGATCGTTGCCGCCGCGGGAAATGCAAAGATCAGCGCAATCGCCTGGGGCTGCAGAGTATCGCTTGGGGCAGTCATCGCGGAGATAGGCATTCGCAATCCATCGGAGGGAGATGACAAGAAAGAAAGGAAGAAGAAATAGATTAAAAAGCGGCCGTCACATCCTTATGAGAGGAGCGGAAATTGCCACAGGTGAAAGGAGGAGGAGAGTTCTGCATTAGGGTTTCCGAGGCTCATGCTGGCTTTTCTCGCAGAGTTCATGGAATGCAACCTTCTGCCTTCTTTCAAATCTTCTACTACGGGATACAGCTGTTATTCCTGCTAGTTTGCGGGGTGCTGACTCGATCTCAAAGTCTATTTCTATATAGCCATGCTGTTCGCCAGCTAGAGATCTCGAGTAGCTGCTGTGCCTCCTTCGGTCATCGTATGAAGATGGCAAGCAATCCGACTACTCGTGGCATTTGGTCAAATAGTTCATGCTGAAAGACCTAGAGTGACTAAATCCAGACTGTCCTGGTGAGACGCCGACAAATTGCCGGACGACACTACAAGACATTTGCTCCACATGGGCTCGGCGCTCACCCATCTAGTCTCGGCTCCTTGTCCTCAAAAGAAGTCACTCATTCGCCACTTAGAACACAGGCTCCTCGGTTGAAACTTCAAATAGGTTGCCCCGCATGCTAGTGCAGTCATAGTCCCTCGTCGACTGAGTCGAGAATCGTCTGCTCCGGTGTAAGCGAGCCAAGTCGGCAACTCTTTTGGCACAATTCCATTATTCACAACATAGACTAGTCTAGACTAAGGGTTTCGGAGGACAACCTCCGTCCTGGACTGTCTCGAATCTCGATTTAGCTTTCGTTTTGTGGCCATTGCTATTGTTAGTAGTCTTTCTGGGTACATGTTCGAAGGCCAACTGCCGGTACACAGTGGCAGCATGACAACTCACGCCGAGTCGGTCCTCAGTCTCTATTTAATCCTTCGGCTCTCTTTATCATTACTTTGTCTTTTGCTTCTTCCTCTCATTCCTCACTCTAAAGTCAATAAGCGATATCAGCGCCCGCAGGCCGCAGGGCTGTAGTCTTAAGAGTCTTGCAGCCACATCAATAGTCCTTGTTAGTCAGTGCCACAAAACGTGGCCTGACCGGGTTCACAATATCATAGAGTGATGGCAAATCTCAGCGAGTCAGTGCCTCCACTAGTACGTGGAGAACATATATTTTCATGCAGTAGTTCATGCGCTAAAGGCCATCGCCGTGCCGCTACTTACTTAGCTCCGCGCACCAAGTCAGAATCCATCGAATTCTCCGAGACGAGGATCCACCTGCTTTGCTCGAGTAGCAACAGTCGGTTCGGTTGGAGATACAAGATTCGACATCCATGGCCTCCTAATTTCCGTTCCCAGAGTGTTTAAATATCGCCACATGGCATGCACGGTGTTGACATGGACAGGCTACCTCCCTCCTTGACCCTTGTACTCGGACATAGAGATGATGAACAGTGTCCTGGCTATCTTGGCCGTGGCCTCTGCGGTCGCAGCGCAAGAGGCCAGTGTGTCGGCATCCCTGGCACCTGCCGCAACTACTGTCTCACCATCGGCAACTCTCTTCCCATCCGAAACTATCCAGCTGACTGATGCGGTTCTCGCCAATGTGGCTGACACCATTCAGAATGAGACCGTCTCCAGTATGTTCACCTTTGCCAGCACCAACTCCTCTTCCGTAGCGAAGAGAAGCTCGCACCGGTGCAAGGTTATGCCTGGAGATGGGGCCTGGCCGAACGACCTGATCTGGGGCATCTTCGACCTTCTTCTCGGCAAGCGTCTGGTGAAGACGACACCACTGGCAGCATACTGTTACCCCGACTGGCCCGAGTATGATGCGGCAAAATGTGCCGCTATCTCGTCACAATGGATCACTTCTGATCTCCAGTAAGCGCTTCACATATTTCCTGGGACGCAGCTGACGTGGAATAGCATGGCCGATCCGGCTTCAATCATGTTGCCCCTGTACGAAGGCCGTACATGCATGCCCCCTGGCTTCAACTACACGGACACCTGTGAGATTGGCGGATATCCCGCCTACGTTGTTAATGTCACAAACGTAGCTCAGATCCAGCTGGCTGTCAACTTCGCCAGAAATCTCAACCTGCGCTTGGTGGTCAAGAATACCGGCCATGATTTCAACGGCAAGGCAGCCGGTAAGGGTGCTCTGTCCATCTGGACGCACTGGTTGAAGGACAAGGCCTTCTACCCCCAGTACAAGGCTGCCAATGGCTACGTCGGCCCCGCCATCAAGATCGGCTCTGGTGTGCAGGTGTGGGAGGCGTATGAATATGCCAAGGCCAACGGTGTTACTGTCATTGGAGGTGAAGCCATCACTGTTGGCATGGGAGGTGGTTACATCGCCGGCGGTGGTCATTCGCCCTTGAGCAGTCTGTACGGCATGGCCGCGGACCAGGTTCTTGCGATGGAGGGTAGGTTTATCTCGTCGTCAGCCCTGTGGGCTCTGGCTAACTCGATTGATAGTTGTCCTTGCCGATGGCCGTTTTATCACGGCCACATCCACGCAAAACTCGGACATCTTCTGGATGCTTCGCGGTGGTGGCGGCAGCACCATCGGCGTCGTCACTTCGTTGACAGTCAAGGCATTGCCCAAGCTGCCAACGACGACGGTGACCTTTAACTTCACCATCAAAGACGCCCCTAGCGCCGACGCCTTTTGGAAGGGTGTCGAGTCGTACTTGGACAACTTTGAGCGCTTTGTCGATGCCGGCACCTACGGCTACTACTACCTCGGCGCATCTGCCTTTCAGCTCGGTACCGATTATGCTGGGTCGACCGATTACTATTTCCGCATGGAGTCGTTTGTCGCCCCCAACATGACTGTCGACGAGACAAAGGCTCTGCTCGCTCCGTGGTTTGATGTGTTGGACGCTCAGAACATCACCTACACTCCGTGGTACAACCACGCCGACAACTTGTGAGCAGCCATACCCCATAAGCGAATTATACCTAACTGTATTGCAGCCACGACGTGTGGACGGTTGCCTTCCCGCAGGAATACGTTGGAACTGCCCTAGTCAAGACGGCCTCGCGTCTCATGCCACGAAGCGTCTTCCAGGACGACAGTCTGCGTAGCCGGACCTTCCTCGCCCACAAGGACGCCATCGACAAGGCAAGCCATCCCGCCGCCTTGCCTTGATTCTCACTAACCATCTCTAGGGTCTCTTTGTCGCTGGCTTCCACATCACCGGCACTGGCAAAGCCGTCACCCCACCCACCGACACCTCCATCCTCCCCGCCTGGCGTGATGCCCTCGCACACGTCATCGTCGGCACACAATGGACATCCGACGCTAGCTGGGAAACAGTAAAGGACAAGTCTCTGTTCGTGACGAGCTGGATGGACGTCCTGCGCGACATTGCCCCTGACTCGGGCTCCTACATGAGCGAGGGAGACCTGCTGGAGCCGAACCAGCAGGAGGCGTTCTACGGCGCCAACTACGACCGCCTCTACAGCCTCAAGCAGCGTTACGATCCGTGGGGATTGTTCTTTGCGCTGACTGCCGTTGGTGCCGAGGACTGGGAGGTCCAGGTTACGGATCCTGTGCCTTACTCGTGGAATAATAATGGGCGGTTGTGTCCTGTTTCTTAGATTGCTTGGTATAGGCGATAATTGTATATTAGTTATAGAGTGAAAAATACATTAGCAGATATTGTCGCTATGTTCAGCTGACATCTGGATAGGACCCAGTTCTTCACCGAGATGCTGGGATGAACGCGACCCTCGGATGGAAGATCAACCTGTGTAAAAATAGAAGAGGCAAGGTCGCATAGTTATCGTCATCCCCTACAACACTTTCGTCTTGGGCTGTGGGTGCTATCTACATGATAGTATCCTGAGGAGCCAAGCCTCCTCCACATACGGTTGAGGTAGCAAGCATCACGGCTAAGCCACATCTATCAACCATAGACGAATACGGGACTTGCCCAAAGAAGACTAGATTGGCCCTCATTTCTCTCGTTCGGCCAACTCCCTTCGTATTGGCTGGGCGCAGTAACCTGAAATTATTTGCTTCGCCCTGTCCACTAGCAATAGTGTATATTCCGCTCAGAGTATAAGTACGGAGCGGACCTGGATGTTTGGACCGATCCCAATCCATTAAGCCAAGTTCATTGCACAATGGCCTTCCACGACGACGATCATCCCCTTTTACAAAACGACCCTTTACAACAAACCTTTCCCGACGTGGCATCCGCCGACCATTCCTCAACTTACTACATCTACCGCGAGCGAAATGACCACATGCTCATCACCACCACCCAACAACCAAAAACCCAAAAGGCACGCCGCAAGAAGCAAAAAGAAGACCCGTCCAGCATCCAAGACCCAAACGGCTACTTCGTCCACAGACCATACCTGAGTTTCGCCCGTCCTCCCCGGACCCTCCGCTCCGGGGGCTCCAAGGACGGACGGACTATATGCCTCATCCACAGTTACGCTGGCTGGCGGCGGTGGCGACTGCAGTTTGGGAGCGATCTCGGGGACGCAGTTGACCCGAGGGGAGTCGTGCAGTGGCAGAGACGGAGCCATGCCGATAACAGCGTCAAGGCGGATGTTGACCTAAAAGGGTACCGGGTGCGCAGTTGGCGATTATGGGGCGAGTCTGGGAAGGCGTACCATCGCGAGGTCAACAGCAAGCGGAAGCAGGGGATGTGGACCGAAGATGATCCTGCGAGTCATCGACCTCTAAGAGCTACGGAGGCGTGCCTGTTGACATGGACGGCGCCGTTCTCGAAACGGACGAGAGAATATGCATTCAGCTATGAAGGGGTTGACTTTGTTTGGAAAGGTACCAAGGACGTGCCAGAGGATTGCAAATTAGCAAGACGGCTGATGCCGGTCCATCACCTGAAGTTAGTCGCGATCTTACCGGCCAAGCTGGCGGAGGAAGCGGAGGTGGTGGTTGGGTATTTTATTTGCAGTGCCAATGAAGACGAGTACGGGACTCTCGTCATTGAAGACTCGAAAATCTGCGAGGTCCTCGGGATCGATGAGATGTCAGAAGACATGGAATTGGCTCGCGCCAAGGGAGCGATGCCGGCAAGGATGCATGATATGATTATGGCCACTGCTGTGTGCATGATCATAGGCGAGTGGCAGAAGCGCAAGACTGCAGTGAGCGTGCTCTTTGCGCTGCTTTTTGCCGGGGCCATGAGTCCTGCCCATATTTAGATATTGATGATTTGCTTGCTGTACATTAGATCTTTCTGCAGTGCATACTTCAGATGGCAACCCTAATTTCTCGGGCACACTCATTTACAAAGAGGAAGTTGACGAAATGGCGGTAAAGGATTACCAGCATGCTGTCCAGAGCATAAAGTGTGGAATGATAAAAAATGTTCAATTATACCATGATCTGCCAGTCATGCTGGGCAGATCCTCCCTGGGTATCGACATCGACAACTATAATCCATGGCCAGACACCACACCATCCAAGCCGAGTTAATTAAAAATTTTTAAGGGCAACAAAGTCAGAAAAGAAATACACATCCTCAGCCCCTCAATAGAAGGGCCAAGCTTCGAACGGCTCCTCAACACTTAGTGGCCCATGCCACCGGGGCGGCCGTGGCCACCAGGGAAGCCCGAGCCCTGAGGGATCCTGCCATGCTCAGGACCCTTGGGGATGGCGCCGCGGGGGTGGCAAGAGGGGATCTTGAATTCGTAGTCGCAGACACCGGTGGTAGGGCAGTAAGCCGTGCCGGGACCGCAGGTCTTGAGGACTGGGATGCCGCCAGCGGCACATTCGAAGAAGTTGTGGCAGTCGTGGACATCAGGCCAGGCGTCTCCGGGCTGGCATTGAGGGGCAGCCGAAACAGCGGAGAAGAGGAGAGAGGCCGCGAAGACGGACAGAGCCTTGAGGGTGAACTGCATCTTGATACTGGGTGGACATTAGTATGGCAATAGCCCACTATCAAGAGTCGACACGTACATTGATGTGTGGATTAGAAGATAATCACAAAAGTAGTAAATATGGACACCTTAAAGACTGAAGGATATTCGATTGAATCGGTGTCGGCTTGGAGTGGCGGTAGTTGGCGAGTTGTCGTCTGTTGAGTCGATGATTGAGGATGAATTGCCTGAGATTGAAGCTGACTTTATACCTTTTTCGAGGTCTAAACTGTTCTCGATTATCGACTGCCTTTACATTCTTCGGATGGCATACAGCAGTAAACCTGTCGATCAAAGCAAACAAATAGCCGCTCTCAACCAATTCCAAGAGGATCAACACTCCCCGCAGGCTCCAGACGTCATGTAAACAACAGATTTGGCATTCCTGGGGCTCGCATATCGGGATAGATACACCCCTTTTTGCCCCTGCGTTTGCGGAAACATTGCCCTGGTTTGCTGCATTGGTTGTTTATTTGTTGTTGTTGTCCCACGTGGAGTTCCTGTTCTCAATTCGCCACTACTACTTGTTGGGAAATACCAATGTTGATGTCTTATTGTCGTATGTAGTGGCGATATCAGGCTTTCACAAATTGCTAGAATGATGGTTGCCAATTCTACTTAGAGATACCTGTCAGACGAGTGTCGTGGCGTGGCGAGCATAGAGCCCGGTCAACCGCCTACTCATTGGTCATTCTAGAAGCATATAGATACAAATCGATACAGGACCAAACTTGTTCACTCTGGATGTTCTCTTCTTGCTCGATCGATTTCTTTGAGGGGCGGCTCTGGTAGTTGGTGCTGTTTGCACTCACTTTCAAGGGATATTGCTAGGGGTTCGGTGGATGCCGCCAGGAATGCCTCGCGGCTCTGGACGCATTCAGTCCTGCCAAGAAAACTGAAGTACGTCAGTTATTCCATTTAGTTATGCCTCGGGAATGACAACAATCCCATCATTGTGCCTGATTGAATGATGTGTGAAGTGGCCTCCGTTGATGTCTGCGGAAGTGGTGACGCCAGGATTCTCATTCTCCTACTGTCTAGGATTAATGAATGTGTTTCCTGCACTTGCTCATTTCCATTTTGTGCATTCGGTTGATGTGACTACTTTGTTATATAGATTCAATCGAAGCGATAGATGTGTTCCAGTCTGGTGTTGGCTATGAAACAGTCAACATCCGCAGCTGACAGGCAGCCAGAAATCAGTAGCTGAAGACATTGTTATAGAAAATGTCCAACTCTGCCACTATTCTACATAAATTCTAGAGCCATGGAGTATAATAGTTGAGCTTCGAGTTGTTCTTCTCGTCGGCCACTGTAGTTGGATATGCAGTATAGATCCTGATCTCTCAATCTTATGCTCACAGCAAGCATAATGGGCATCTTAATCATTCCATGCTACTGTAGTGCATAATCTTATTAGGAACATTAATATCACTCAGTGAGAGTGACAAATGTTACGTAGAAAGAATATATTTGTATGTTGTTGATGGATGTGGTGAGTATGAGATGCGGGAAATATATATTGGTGGCCACTGACTATTCCACCACCAATCGATGCCAATTTGGTGTCAACGTTGCTTAGCATAACTGCCATAATACTTTAGCAAAGACGAAGATAGACGATTCGGGCTTCCATTTCTTCTATATCATTTGCTGCTTTGGCGTGACAATAGCTTTCACTTTGAGCCCATACTAGACTCTTCTAATTACCAGCGGACAGACCGTCAGTCAGCCAATAGCGGCAATTTCTTTTGATTTCTACCTATTAGTTTTGCTTCCTTGGACTATGTTAATAGTAGTCTACTAGTATATATTGTCTATGAGTTGTTTTTAAGAAAGTTTTCAAGCAGAATCAGTCAGAGATTCGACGCTGATGTGATTCTGCACATGTTCTTGACGACATCCCTTGATCGCAAAGCGTCCCTGAAGAGCTATCAGAACCAGTCAACAATTCTATTCTCTGATCCTTGTACCTCCCCTGTCTTGCAACCCATCTCGTGTTGTCTTCTTGTTTAGAAGCAGGATACTCCTTGATTTGAGCAACCGAGTGTGCCAAGAACGGGAATAGTTGATGGGAAGTAACCTAAGGCAAGGGGCCGCAGAGATACAACCCAAGAAGTAATGGACCTCAGATATCGATTGGCCACGCTCAACTCGAAAGAATGACAAGGAAGCGAAGAATGAATCATTTGCTTCGAAATCATATTTTTTATCTCATGGCTAGGTAACCTATCAGGAAAGGAAACTCCATTCCGACAGCGGACATCGAAATGACTGATGATCTGATAACGGATTCTTGAAGGTCCATTCCCTCAAGGCTCTTGTTTGTTTGCTACCTTTTCACAAATGTTCCCTCTAGAAGAGACATACCCAGCAGCAAGATGGCACCGTTGAATCCAGCCAGATCAAAAAGGACTGCCGCGAAAAAGACCTCTGGACATCTTCAACACATTTTTTTTAATTCATAAGGGCACAATTTCCTACCATTTGGCAAATGCTCGAGGATCGCGCAGATGAAGGTGCATATCTCCGAGCGAAGCAATTTAATAAAGGACCGAGGAATAGATTCTAGGTACGGCCGCGTTCTACATCCGAAGATCACGGACAAATGAACGGTTTTATCACAGTTCAACCAACAAGAAATTGCTGACGCCTGATCAATTGGCAGTTACCGTCCCAAGAAGCCCTATAGACCATTGGATGGAGATCGCGACCTGTTTAAACGCGGATCTCCACCCCGAGACAACCAGAGATACCCGCATATCGTACTCGTGTCTGTTCCTCAAACCGGTAAAACTATACGATTACGAGGACGATCACCCATAAACGATCACATCTCCTGCAGCACAACAAAGTTGTCATCATGCAATTATGACGCTTGATGAGGACCGGACTGTGTCTGGCTGCCTGGAGATAATCAGCAGAACTACAAAAGGGCGATTTCCGCGCCCGTCATGGATATTCCAGCGCAAGCAGCTCTGACTGTACCTCGAACCAGAAACAGCAAAATATGAATTGGATTGCATTTGTGTTGGCTGTTTCCATACCTGTCATTCAAGCACAGACGCTTCCAGCCCCTCAGCCAGAACCGATTGAAGTGACTGAGTTGCCTTTACCTCCTGTGGCCTCCAGCAACCGCACCGGCGCTTGTACGAAGAGCATTAACCCACGTGGAACTGGTTGTATAGGGACTATCTCGGACACCTTTCAAGCTGGCGATTTTACACCCGATGGGAAGCATGTGCTCGTCAATGTCGAATTTATCGGTGCGCCAGCTGCCCCGGACCCCGCCAGCATTTACACCGGCCAGCAATTGATTGCTGTCAAGGCTGATGGGTCACTCTTCCCTAACGGGGATCCATGGAAGTGTCTCAGCTGTGGCGTCCCTGCAGAGCAAGCACAGTCTCTCGACCCTGCAAGGGATTATCCTCATGCTGCTCGAAATGGCCGGCAAGCTTTATGGGGCCGCAACATACTCGACTGCGGTGATGCTCTCCTTGTGAGTGACGAATGTACCCCGAACACAACATATATGTATCCCATCTACTGGCCCAGTGGAAGTATGCGAGAATTGCGCATGCATCCAGATGACGTCCACATGGGGTGGAGTTCTTTCACCAAGGGAGGCCAGAACGCCTTCTTCGGGCGTTTGCAGTTCAACCCGAACCCGACGACAGGAGATCCTCTCGTTCCGCGGTATGACTTGGTGAATGTGAGCATTCTGGTCGATCCAAAGGGTCGCTCCTCCATCATGGCGGAGGGAACACAGCTCAGATTGCATGACGAGGCAATTGTCGTCGGCGAGTTGCGCGGCTTTAGTGGTGCTGGGGACGAGATTCTATACATTGGCCCGACAAGAGAGGCGAACAATGTTGATCTCTTCGCAGTACACGTCACATCCGGTGCTATCCGTCGTTTGACCAGCCACCCAGAGTACGCAGACCCTATTGCATTTTCCCACGACAATCAATGGTTTGTGGTCATGGATACGCGGGGATCCAACCGCCAGATGTGGATGTCAGGTATGCGATACGTCCCGCCGCTGATCGACCTGGTCACCATGACTGCAGCCTCGTCTACCCGTAACAACGGTGCTCGCCGTTTCTTCCAGCCCATTTTGATCGATAGATATGGAGACCGAGGATCGTACTTTGGCCAACGGGTCAACGCTGCTGGTAACGGCACAAGTGGCAGCGTCAACGATCCCAATTGGAACGGGCGCGCAGACCCTGCGTTCTCTCCGGATGGTACGAAAATTGTCTTCTGGCAGTCTTTGGTAATTC